GTTTTCATATGCGTTTGGCCAATCAATGTCTACTTGCGTCGCGATTAGTACCAGTTGTGCTGGTTAGACCCTGCTCCGGAGTAGGAGCTAATTTGGTTCTCAAAAAAAGGCAGTCCGGTACTAAAATCGCACCCAGTTCCGGCGGTGCGAAAACGCCAAAAAGTGGGTAGTTCCACAATTAGTTCTGGTACTATGAAAAGGTTCCCGCGGTGCGAAAGGCCCTATAATCAAGTGAGCGAGGGTACGTATGCTGGTTGTCTATAAGGCACTGGTAGAATAAGGATCGCTGTGTTTCTCTTCTGCCTGACGTGTGTTTTGTGTGTGTGTGTCGGGTGTGTGTTGTGTGATATCCGGTAGCTGGGTGTGTGTGTGTGTGTGTTGTGTGTCCCTCCTCATGGGCAGCTCGAGCTGCAGCTGTTTCCAGAAGCGTGAGGACAGAGGGGCCGATTTCTCGCCCTTCCAGCGTATGAGCGTCAGCGCCAGCCGGGCCCGGCGCAGCTCTTTGACCCAGCTCTTCCTCCGGACCGGTTTGAACTGGATCAGAACCACCCTGAGGCTGCCGCCGTGCAGCATGCTGGTCAGTCCGGCCTGCAGCTCGAGCAGAGCCTGTGTCCCGCGGACAGCGCTGCACGGACTCACAACCACCACCAGCCTGCGGCTCTGACCCACAAACCTCAGCGTATCGTCTGTTATAGCTACACACAGACACACATTAATACACTCACACACACACAACACACGCACACCACACAAGTCATACACAAGTACGTCATCAAGCAGTTTAACTAGTTCTGCATGACAGTATCTGATCAACACTTCATGTTCACTTATTTTAGTATCATTTATATAAAATTATAGTTTTCAGTAGTATTTACAATTACCGTTTATTTTTATAATTTCAAGTTTCATTTTAATTGTAGTTTATTTTGTCATTTTGTTAAGGGCTGTAATTTATTTCAGTTTTAGATTAGTTTTTATTTATTTTTGTCTTATTTTATTTAGCTTTTATTTTGATATCTGTCATTTTCATTAGTTTTGTAATATTATTATTTACATTTAATTTATTTTAAATATCTTTTTAATTTAAATAATCTTAAATATATACATGCATGTGTGTGTATTTATATATACATAATAAATATACACAGCACACACACACATATGTAAACAAAAACTTTTATTTTGAATGCGATTAATCATTTGACAGCACTAGTTTTTATTAAATTTTTTTAAATATTACTATTTAAGGTAAATTCATTTTTATTTCATTTTTATTTCTAATTTCCATTTAGTTTGTTGTTCATTTTAATATCTTTATTTTGTTGTATTTCAGCATTGTTTAAATAAAAAAAATAATATTACATTTTAATGGTTTTAGTTATAATAACACTGAGACTTACTTGCATTTTATCATGAACTGCAAATTTGTCTATAATCACGTACTTGTGTAGAGCAGGAATTCCCAAACTTTTAATATTTCCATAATTTAACATCACATTTGGATTTTCATGGTTCACTGATGTTGCTTAATAATTGTATAATAAGTTTACTTTATGCTTTTAGTTATAATACTAATATTCATGTGAAATTCTTCAATTTCAAATGTTCAAACCCTCCCATTTTAAACATTTCAAATAAATCTTCAAACTTTTATTTTGGCAGAATATCTGTAAAATGCTATCTGTCCACAAAAAGTGGGTAATTTTGTGAATGTGAATGAAGTAAAGGTACGTGTTCCCAAATGCATGTTAAACTCGCAGAGATGGAGTTTGCAGCTTGTTTACAGTGAATTTAGCCGCTTTGGTGAACCGCTGTTTGGGAAGCCCTGCTGTACAGTACAGTACGTTTGGAGTCATGTGATACTCACTTCCTCCAGGAAGACTGTCCCGGTCGAAGATGCAGACAGAGTAACCGAACTCAGTCTCCAGGACTCGACGCAGCGTGGACAGAACGAACTCCTCCTCCTCACTGTTGCGAGCGTATGAGATGTACACGTCATACTGCTTATCATCTGCAGACACAGACAGAGTTCAGTCAATATTAGTGTTAAACTTCAGTCTGATCTTTGACAGCGAGAGCAAATACTGCTGCTAGAGTTACTGGTGAAGCTACTTTAAAACTTCAGCTCACTAAGATAAATGTTACACATACTAATAGCCAGGGGCGGACTTAGTGATTTGGGGGCCTTAAGCAAATTCCAAGTGTGGGGTCCCAACGCAATAACTATGTGCTCTTTTACACTTAACCCTTAACCCTTATTTTGCTCGCTCGCTCTCACAGTTTGTAGTTTATTTATCCCTTCATAACCAGTAATTAGTCAACCTGATGCTGTTCTAAGGGCTTATGTTTTTGGGATCACAAAAGAAGACATCAAAAAAAAAAAAAATCTTGCACTTGTCCATTTAATAAATTGTAAACTTTTCAATCTTTTGACAAATATAAAATTATCCCATGCAACTCATTCCATATTCCAAGTGTTCTGAAGGCATACAGTAGGGTTTGCCGAGAAACAAATCGAAAATGTAATCTATTATTAAATGAAAATCTCCAGTCATCGCATTCGAGCATTTATACGAGTATGCGGCAGTTCGCACCAGCGCGCCTGGGAGAAGCACACAAGTATGTGTTAACATATGTGTTTATGTGCATCTCTCACCTGTGTATCTCTCATCAGAGCCGAACCACGAGCGATAGAGCAGCAGCAGCTCGAGCCAGAACACGTGATAGATGACAAACATCATCAACATGAGCGCCAGCGTCACACCTAAACCACAGCCCAGCTCTAGAGTCGGGACGTACGCTACACACACACACACACGAGAATATATATACACATAGGCACACAAATATTCATTTCAATGGTTTAAGGTACACATGCTGTATGCTTTATGCTTTAAATCACTTATAAAAGCATCTGCCAAATGCATAATTGACATCTGCTCAAAAAAAAAAAAAAAAGATTAAAATGAATAAAGTTACTAAAATTTTAGTCTGCATTCTGATCAACATATACAGCCAAAATAAACATACGGGCATACAGGGTCCAAAACAAACATACAACAAGTGCCAAATGAATTCAAAAATGGTTGAGGCAAGTACAATAAATTAATTGATTTATTGCTTTAATGACATATCAGCAGCATTTTTATGCCAAATTTAGAGTATAAGAAACTAAAATGATTAAAATAACAATGAAACTTAAAGGGGTCATATGATGCTTTTTTAAAGATCATTATTTTGTGTATTTGGTGTAACAGAATATGTTGACATGCTTTAATGTTCAAAAAACACATTATTTTTCAAATACTGTACATTATTGTAGGTCCTCTATGCCCCGCCTCTCTCAAACGCTTCGTTTTCTACAAAGTCCCTCCTTCCGACAAGCACAGTCTGCTCTGATTGGCCAGCTGAACCAGTGCATTGTGATTGGCCGAACACCACAAGCACCTGTCGGAAATGTAACGCCCCTTACCATAAACGCGAGCTTCATCTTTCAAAATAAATGTAAAGACAGAGCCCGAAAGGAGAACAGAGTCTCGTGACAGACACAGTGATGAATATGTGTTTGCAGTACACAAGCCACGGTTAAGACAGCTGACTCCACTGTGAGTGACCCTGTCTCTCACGCGCACACGCACACACACACACACACGTGCTGCGCAAAACTCCGCCTTTGAACAGTCAAAAGCAAATACTTAAACTAATAACAAAACAGTAGCTGATTCAGAAGCGCCAGATTGTCATAGCAAAGTCAGAATTACCTCCTCTCCTAGGTTCACGAAACAGTCGTCCATAAAATGCATTGCTGTTCTGTTGTAAGTAATCTTAAAGATTCCTAAATGCATCTACTTTCGGAAGGCCAAATAAAGTGCTTTTGCTTTCGCCTAGAAACACACAGCGTCTCCCTGACATGGCTGCTTCAACACTAACTGCGGTTACTGAAACCACGCCTTCTTTCTTTGCGTGCACATTTGGGCCGCACTATGCTAATATTTCCACATAGTGAGGTAGATATGTGGGGGCGTGTTAGAACGAGCCGTTTTAGGGGGGCGTGGCAGAGTCTTAACTTTGATAAAGAATATCTCTTTGGTTTTGAGACTTTAGTCTTTGCAACTTCAGGGATCTTATCTATGCACAATCAGCTTGTAACACTCCAAAGAGAAAGGAAAACTTGAAATCGCATCATATGACCCCTTTAAGTAAATAAAGAAAATTATATACAATATTTTTCTTACAACAACAAAAACATAGCAATGATAAAAGTTCTTTTAGTTTGAAGTTATGATGAAAGTAAGTTACTACAGCGTAAAAAAAAATTTAAGGGGGTCTGAATAATTTCCGTACCCACTGTACATTACATTTATTAAAAGTGACAGTACAGACATTTATAAAGTTACTAAAGATTTCTATTTCAAATAAATGCTGATCTTTTGAACCTTTTATTCATCAAAAAATCCTGAAAAATAAAATGTAAGAAAAAGATTTAATTAGTTTTTATTTAGGATTTAGGATTTTGTACAATGGTAACAATGCTGTTTTTAAATGTATTTGCTATTTTTCCCACATAAAATGTGTTTTTACAAATTATATAGCTGCCTATATTTATTACTGCTAAAAGGTGGAAGATGTGGGTCAGTAAGATTTTTTTTTTATTATTAATTATTTTAATGCATTAATTTAATGAAAAAGGTGCCAGTAAACATGTATAATGTTACAAAAGATTTCTATTTCAAATAAATGCTGTTCTTTTGAACTTTCTATTCATCTGTGAATCCTGAAAAATAAAATGTGTCACAGTTTCTGCAAAAACATTTGGCAGCACAACTGTTTTCAACATTGATAATAATCAGAAATGTTTCTTGAGCAGCAAATCAGCATATTAGAATGATTTCTGAAGATCATGTGACACTGAAGACTGGAGTAATGATGCTGAAAATTCAGCT